GTCGGCTAATGGTTTGCCACAACAAACTTTGGCAGCCGCTCCAGTTTCCCTGGACAGTCTCCCAGCCCAGCCCTGATCAGGGCCAACTCAGTGATTGGGATTTCTCTCTGGTTGAAGATTCAGGTGGAAACACACTTTGCTTCTGCCAGCTTGCAGGCTCCCGGTAGATGCCCCTTCCCTGTTATATTGCAGCTCACAGGGAGAGCAGTGGGCTCCCTGCCTGCGCCAGGCTCAGGGGCTCTAGCAGGTCAGGTCTTGTGCAAAGACCCCTGCCGTTCCTGCCCGTGCAAATCGCAACACAAACTTCCCAGAACAGCCCGTGCAACCTGAAATACAGTGGAAACAGCCAGACACAAGGGACTGGCACGGGCAGTGGCACTGAAGGGTTTAGGCCAGAAGACGCATGCTACTGCCCTTCCCCAGCCCCCAGTGTTCGAGCCAAGGCAGCTTTGGCGGTGCTGGATTTCCAGCTAAATCCAAGGGCTCCCTCTTCAGGAGTTCCTTCACCACAGCCACATCCATCCAGTCTCCTTGGCCATCCCTCCCCCTAAATAGCTAGCTCTGGGGTTGGGTAGAGAAAGGAGGACTGCAGGCTGAACACTTCCCCAAGCATATCTGCAGCCATGTGGAGAGCCCTGGAGGTCCTGCCCATAGCCTAACACACCCTGAAGGATGCCTAGGGGAAATGGGACGGGTCACAGGAAGAAGGGCGTGCAGGGAAGCCCTTGCTCACCAAGGGGGTGATGGTCATAACAATGACAACACTTTGCACTTCCCTGGCACTTCTTGTCCAGGGGATGCTCCCAAAGTGCAGAACCACTGTTAGTCCTACATAGACAAGGGAAAAAAACAGACACACATTTGCCAACCTGGTGGGGCTGGAAGAGACTGGGCGCATCCTGTCTCCCATTGAGTTGTTCTGCCCACTAGCCCCTAATCCTGCTTAGAGCCCAGTAAGGAGCAGGCAGCAGCTGGGGATGAGAGTGGCAGGGTAGGAGACTGGACACCTGGGTCCTCTTACTGGCTTGAGTTGAGAAGGGCACAAGTACTCCCTGCTACTCTCCTAGTAAAGAGAGGAGCAGAGGGTGCATCAAGACACCTGGGTTTTACTGGGATCTTTTGAGCAAGTCACTGCCTCATTTTCCCCTTTGGTTAAATGCTAATTCCTCACTGTGGTAGGGGGCTCTGGACAACAAGGTGCCTGAGGCATGCCCTTTGGCACTACAGAGCGTACCCTGGGGTCACAAACCCTGCCCTATTACACCTTGGCTATCATCTGACCTCACGCTTTTCCCAGCTGGAATCCTTTCCGCTGCACTCTGGATCTGACCCCATCGCTCTGGAAAGCGGCACGCACCTCCGGTGCCCCATGAATAATCGATGGTCCACATGTGGCATGGCAGGCAGATGCATGCTAACCCAGTTTCTCAGGCGTGAAGAATGCTGCAAGGCCCACTCACACCAGACGCCTCCCAGCCTGAGCATCCAGACAAAGAGCTAATGAAACGAGCCCAGAAACCAGAGGTGGGAACTTCAACCCAAGCAGCAGGTGCACCCCCATCGACAGGCCCATTGGGCCCCAGGCAGGTACGGGGACCAGCACTGAGCAGACAGGGCCGTGTTTCAGATTTGCCTTCCCACCTCCGGGTTTCCTTACCAGATGCTGTGATGGGCAGTGCCCCTTGGCGACTGGCACCGTCCCCTCTGTGGATGCAGGGTGCTGCAGGATCTTTGCAGGGTGCTGCAGGATCTTTCAGCAGTAACTTGGGGGTTTCAGAGGAGAAGCCACCGGGACTCCACTGAGAAAGTCACCGAGTCAATGCACCCGTGTCTGCCGGGAGAAATCCACCAGGTGATGTGTTTGTTCAACCAGGCTCATCTCCAGACCATTTCCTGGGCCAGGTGTCACTGCAGGAGGGGCTCCCAAGAGGACAGCAGGAGAGGGACAGGGGCAGGTTGGAAGAGGAATGTCACCGAGCCCCTTCCAGGAGAGGGCTCCTTTTGCAGTAGCTTGCAGCACAGACTGGGGCTGGCAGGCAGTTGGGGAGGAGTTTCTGTCTCCCCCAAGATGGACACACAGAAATTTGTGTGCGGCGTCACACGCATATGCCATCTCCCCATGCCCGGCACGCGCAGGAGCACTCTTCACCCAAGCATGCACACAGATCAGCTGGCACATTCAGGTTGCCCCAGGCATGTCTATCGTCTGCACACATACGGAGACGTGCACGCGCGTGCTGCCCCACCGGTGCACACATGCACAACCGGCACCCACCTTGGAGCTGAGGGAGCAGACAGGGTGCTTAGCCCCTGGATGCCACAGGATCACCCCCAGCTCAACAGTGCTGAGCCCTGCACACCCCTCTGGTAGGCCAAAGCTAGCTGAACCCCGATCCCAGCCTCCCTCCCCTTGGTGTAGCGAGCCCGAAATGCATCCCTCTGGGTCTGACAAGTGCAGCGGGCGCAGGATGAGCTGGAGGCAGAACAAGAGAGGAGAGCAGCAAAATGGACCTACCTTCAAGGGAGTGCATCCCTTACTGCAGGCAGGTTCACCCTTCCACGGGGAGCCATCCCTGCTCCCAGCATCTCCTCCCTCCACCGCACTGCACGTTGCTACGGCGACCGCCTCCCTCAGCAACCCGGGGCTGGAGTGAGCAGCAGCGACGGCAGCAGGACTGGAGGCGATGGATAAATTGCAGCATCAGATCCTTACAGCTCCGGCAGACTCCCCAGCTGCAGGGCACGGGTGTTGGGGGGCATGGGGAGGAGGTGGGGCAACGGCTGAGGTTCTTCCCTGCACCCAGGGGTGCCTAGGGAGGCAGATCTCCCCTCCCAGGACATGCACAGCACCCCGCAGGCACCTTCCTTGCTGCATGGGGGAGCTGCAACTCCAGGTTAGACCCCCACCCCATTGATTAGTGTAGCAGGAACCTCCCCTGCACCACCTTCCCCAGCAAGCCCCCATCAGGATGAGCCCACGCTGGCACCAAGAAGCTGGGAGTTACCATGGGAAGGACTGCGATGTCATCTGCTTCTGGGCCTAATTTATACACAAGTGTCCTATATAGGGCTGGCGAGGGATACAGCCTGCACCTCTGTGCTCCCCCTCCATGCACACACCCTATTTCTCAAGGGGGACAAAGCCTTGGGACACGTGGGTGCAAGCAGGGGTCACCAACACAACAGGGTGTGCATTTGCGTTTGTCTCACATCATTGGCATCCATCATACAGTTCAATAGCACCTGGTGCACACATATACAGAGGGTGCTGTGCTGGTGTGATCCCTACACACCTACACACGCATGCAGTGCCGGCATGACCTCTCCACGCGTAAACCCATGCTGGTGTGAGCTGTCTGCCATACACGGAGGGTGCTGTGCCGTTATGGCCCCTACGCACATACAAACACCCTCACTTTAGTGGTAGCTGCGATGCCTGCTACTATTTCAGCACCCCCTCTTCTCCTCGGTCCCCTGTAATGGAACAACCTCAGGAGGTAACCAGGAGGAAGGAAGCCTGACTTCCCAGGATTGACACTTTGAGTGGCCAACAGTGGGCTCTGCCTGCCCTGTGACCAGAAACCCCACAAGCTGGCAGTGCCCACTATCCATACAAGGCCTTGAATCTGGGGCACAGCATCCACAGCTGTCCCTGCAAGTGGCCAAAGCTGTGCACCTGGCACACATACTTGGGGAAGGGCTTGCTCTGCATGTGAAGGGAAAGATCCCAGCCCCCTTCCCCTGAGAGCCCAGAGCCGGAGGCCCAGCAAAAACAAGTGATGCAATGAATTGCCTTTTCCACTCCAACCTGCTGGTGCCCCCTGGCGCCTGAGACTGGTGGGACAAAGCAGTGGGCACCGCTGCAGGGAAAGAAAGGTGTAGCTGCCCTTGGGGGGTTGAAATGCACCATTTAACTCTGTGCAGCAGGCAGGCATCATCCCTAGAGATGCCGGTGCTTGTGGGCAGCTCTGGGGGAGTTTGTCCTGCTGCACAGCATTCAAGGGCATGCCTGCTGTGTGCGCCCAATCTGTGTCAAAACATCTGGGCTCTGGGTGCGGCATAAAAGGCCACCTCCCTGTGTCACTGCTGTCACTGACTCTCCCCCCCGGTGCAATCGTCACCAGTGCACAGTGAGTGTGAGACGTGGTTGTTTAGATCAGGTTACCCTTAGGACACCTCTGATGTGTCTGGCAGTGGCAAGGCTGGGCCCGTGGCCTCCTTTGTCCTTCTCCTCGGCACTGCTCTGGAGTCTGCCTGTCCCAGAGCCAGCAGCTGCACTCATCAAGGGTCAGATGAAGCCCCCAGCATCAGGTCACCAACACAG